GATTTAAAAAGTGATTGCTATTTTGTGTCGAATATTCTCTCGCGTTCGTCTACACGATCAGCGCATAAATAATCTAAATAATCATCCACATTTAACAGTATACATCCGCCACGCTTTTGTATATTGTTAAATGTGGATGATTATTTAAATAATAAAAAAACGTGCACATATTTGATGGGTCAAAATGTGCTATGCTTTGAGTATCTCTGACACCAAGACGGTGTGTGTAGCGGTTTGTGGTTGTACTGGAGATATGCATACGAATACAAATGTATGTTTATATATAACCACACATATATACGTGAGAATGTAAAAGTGACCGAGTGGCTCAAGGAACTGCGCCACTGAGATCCTGCGTTCGAATCAGGCCGATAGCCACGTGTTGTTTCACTGATTTTTCAGGCGCAGTGAATGAATTGTCTCAACCTGGTCACACCAATGACTGCCCCCCCCCCCCCGACCAAATAAAAGTTCACGTTTGTTTTATTTTGAAGTCTGCCGAGTTTTGGCCTAGATATGTAAGGGCGAGTAGTTGTACATACGCGAGGCTATAATATGGCTTAGAGAGGCCTCACAAAGTGATTCAGAAGTAGTTTTCTCACTGCACTCGATAACATTCAACATAAAGCAGTCCGGTTGATTGATTATCCCGCACTTACTCATTCACTCCAGTCACTCGCCCATCGGCGGTCAGTCGCCCCAGTATCACTCATATCGCTACCACCATGGTGACAGTCCACGTAAACTCGTTCATTCAGAGCAAACGCAGCGTGAGCTCTCCGCTCCAAATCGGCTGCATCGTCACGTTCTTTCAGAATCCCATCGCCCCCCCCCCCGACCAACCCGAGTGTCTCTCTCCCCCCTCTTATTCTTTTCAGGCTAATTATTTCCAGAAAAATGCAGGCGAAAACGTTCGTCACCCACCGAATTAAAAGCCGGCGGGACTCTACAATTGGTTAATCAATTTTGATTATTCAAATTATTCAAGCGATTATTTTGATTACTTCTAAAGCGCGTGTCGTAGGCCTGCGCGTGCGCAAAACGTGTGCATTCCACTACCGTGCTGGCCATGGTGCTGAAAGCAATGCAGCAAGAGGGCCCTGCTGAGCCGGGAAGGGTGCAGGATCGGTTCGGATGTCACGCGGCACTCACGTTTGATCCTGGCCGGCAATCGAACTCATGTCGACGGGTTCTAAAACTATTGCGCAACCGCTACACCGACGGCGTAGTACAGTCCAGTATATATATATGCTGCACTTAATATCAGCCTATGCGTGTGCAGCATTAGGAAGGCACAAATTACATTTGTAATTCTTATTAATACTCCCATTCTGCGTAAGTGCTTTTAGTGAACGCCTGTTAAGGGGTAAAGGTTGCCAGCGCTGAGCGCTTTACATTGCCCGGCCGCCTTTGTCTCAACATTGTTGAGACTTAATGAGTACTCGTTAAGGGCCAATTCGTTCAAGAATAGAGGAAAGGATCGGGCCAGATTACAGACACCAAATGTCACAAAATTTCGTACACGAATTGTAGTAGAATCGATGTCGTGGTTACATACGACGCGACTGCATACGGATTACAAAGACAAAGGGCCTCGCTGTAGCCTTGATCCAGAGTGTTGGTGCCAGGACTTTTAGCGAGCACCTATTTAGGCCGCACACAGGGGTGGTGTGGGGCCAGGACCAGGCCCAGTGCTGACGTTCACACACAGTACAAGGTACTAGCTTAAGGCCGAGTCTACTCAGCGGAGGCCCAGGAAAAGCTTTTATTCTTGCCACTGGTGTTAGCCACGCCTGGGAATCGAGCCCAGGTCAGGTTCGTAGCGCGGTGCGTTAATCACTACGCCACCGCTCCCCTACACACACACACACACACGACCACATATACACACACTGGGTATCTGAATGAATCCATTTATATCTGGCTCATGAACGTCGTTCATAGGGGGTGGGGGGGGGATTGAAACCATGATGCAACTGACATGTTGTATATGTTTAATGGCGTCTCTGCTTTCGCAACAACTCTCAGACGCGTATTGAAAATGATGCAAACCTCGTTTAAAGAACAGGAGGCCAATTGTGCATTAGCGTGAGACGCGTGTGCTGCTATGATGCACCACGTAAGGCCTCCTTTGCGTTTAACGTCTACGTTCAACGTTCATTAAATCCCCTCCCCCACATTAGTTGAACCAACGGTTTTGTTTTGATATGTTTTTTGTTGTTGTTTGTGCATCATCAAAGTACGAGGTCCTTCCAGCCCGACAGCACTCTTACGTGTGCCAGCTTATCGTATCTACGATAGATTGTGTGTGTGTGTGTGGGAGGGGGGGGGGTGAAGATGTCTCAAAAGATTCGAACCTATTAATTCCACCTCATTTGATGCAGTTGTTAAAGCACAGCTTACCCCACCCCACCACCACCAAAACACTCCGCCGTCCAACTGCGTTCCCCTGCATCTTACTGCCCTCCTATCCCCACGGCTTACCTCTATAGCAACAACCCCAACAACTGTGCGTGCGAGTGTGCGTGGGTGTGAGTGTCCAGGGATGGGTGTGGAAAGTGGGGGGGGGGGGGGGGGAGGTGGGGTGTTCGGAGGAAGAAGGCATGGCCCGTTTGGGAATACGTGAGGTGGGGTGGAGTTGATGGATAAAGCACGGCTGTGGTGCTCGTGGTTGGTGGTGGTGGTGATGATGATGAAGTGGGAGCACAATTAAGGTGACGGCTGGTTTATTAAGACTACCGAGCCAGCTGGTCACCTCTCATGCCTCCCCCAAATCCACACGGCCTCGACATAACCCACCCCACCACACGCCACTCCCTTAATCCCTTACCCCCCCCCACACACACACACCTACGCGTAGCACAACCGCTCCAACCACCGCCCGCTGCCCCCCCAAACCGCAGAGCCTTAAAGCCCCTCCGGTGGAATGTTGGTTGTGTTTGCTTCGAACACGCAGCGCTGCCCTCTGCGCGTCGACGCATGAGCATTGCAACGTGGAAGGTGGCCGGCAAACGAGACAATTGCGTGCCACAGGTTGTTGCTGCAGAACGTAAAGGCCCCGCTCTGAGCAAACTAACGTCGATAGCTCAACGGATGCAGGTACATACACTGCGTGCTGAATGAGCCCATTCCGTTTCTTTTTGTCGCACAGTGCCCAAGGCCATTGCACCGTGTGCGGCCGCGTGGAACATTCATCTGCAATCGGCCACGCGCGTTATGTAAAAAAAAAAAGCAGCAGCACACTTATGCGTGCGTGCGCGCGCATGTGTGCGACTAATCAGCCGCGGAACAGGAACCATTGCACGGCATGAAGAGCGTTGCGAAAAATCCGCGCGGTCGTTCTGCAAAACGTCGTTTTTCCCGATGCACGCTTTGCGCCGGGCGCCACTCGGCAGCTGCACCGGTCGAGTCGGCAATTCCGCGTGCTCCTACAAGTACGTCCCTCCCTCCCCCCCCCCTCGTTCATCACGGAGGGTAAAAACAGGACGCAAGACGCATGCAGAAGCTTTACAGAAAAAACATGAACACACAATTATAACGACAACCCCTCCTCTGCCCGGCCGCCCACTCTCTCTCGTCTGCTAGCCGTGTCCTTCCTCAAAGACGTCGGCGACCGTGGTCTTTCTTCCGTTGAACCCTGCCCGTGCTGTCTACTCGGTCAACTCCGCATTAGGGTCTCCCACAGTTGCACCGATTGTTCAACTTGCGCACGGTGAACTTAATTCGCCGTCTTCCCCGACTTTTTGTGCCTCTTAATTTTTCCCAGTAAAAAAAGAAAAAAAAAACATTTATATGACGTCTCTTTATTTCTCATTACATGTCCAAGAAACCTAATTACCCTTTCTCTAATTAGTTTGTTGTAATTGTATGTTATTTGTGTGCCTGATAACTACACCGCTAAATTCTGAAACGTGTATGTATATTCTAACTCTCACTTCTAAAAACAGTCTTAAATTAATTACATTCGTAGTACGTATTCGTAATGTCGTCTGCTCGATGCCATGCAGTGCTGGACGAACACCTCCCCATGCTGGCAGGCACGTCATGTAAACGCCACTCTCAATCACAGGTTGGTAACGAGGTGGAACTCAGGACCGGTTCAGCTATCACTCGCCCAATAACGGTCAGCCGTGACAGGGGATCGAACTGGGATGACCAGGTGCAAAACGCGGCGCTTTAAAATCACAGCCCTGCACCGCACCGCGCCGATTGCATTATGGACTGCGTCCAATCAATCGCCATCGATGCTCGCTATGGAAATGCGAGCCGGCGCTGCTCTCGAGCCGCGTGCAACAGAGCAGCTGTAGGATTCTACACTATGAGACATCTCCTTTACCAGTGGCAAAATATAGTAGTAGGTTTTTACCCTTTAAACTGGTACAAAACTACTGCAGGATTCTAATAAAGCGTAACCACGTGGAAGGCGCTGCCGTGGTCCGAGTGTAAACGCGCGCGCGTGTTGAACACGGGGAACACGAACGTGGCGATGCGATCAGTGAAGGCGCCAACGATGCAAACCGAGCAACGGCGTTTTTGGAGAATGGCACTCAAGCGAGGGGCAACCATTAAAGTCATCAACGTGGGCAACGGCGGTCCAATTAAGCCGCTCGCGCGCACAAAGACACGCGTGGAGGGAGCGATTGCATAATAGTCATCACAGCGGAGGTTGATTACAAATATGTCCTGTACATGGTAAAGTTATCTTGTCAACAATGCACTGCTGTGGGGTTATTTAGCCATACCTCACCATCGCGGTGACTGGTGACGGCGAGGAGTATACACGGCACGACACACAAGTACAATGTAGCAAACGATCAGGCTGCGCTAAATACACATTAAAAGTAACCCCGTTAAAATACGGGTATGTGATCCATACCGTTTTTGCTTAACACGGTCACACATGCAGCGGTCAAATTCAATAGTCCCCTCCGAGTAATATCACTTTTTACCACGCGACGTTCAGTTGCAACAGCGAGACGGTGCAAGACACGGGAAGGTACCTATGATGTACGAGCACCCTCCAATGTTAAAAGTGGCGCTCCTCCGTTTCATAAACTCTCCTTTCTTGGCGCCTTTATCCGTCATGGTGATGATGGTGATGATGGCCGTGACGTTCCGTCGCCGGCGCTCGTGAATGCGATGTCCCGGCGTGAGGCGTCTGCGTCGCGCGGCTCGATCGCGAGTTTGGAGAAACGCGGAGGAAGCGCATGGAAATCCCTGTGCGCGTGTCTCCCTGCGCGTGTCTCCCTGGCGCGTCTCTCCCTGGCGCGTGTCTCTCCCTGGCGCGTGTCTCTCCCTGGCGCGTGTCTCTCCCTGGCGCGTGTCTCTCCCTGGCGCGTGTCTCTCCCTGGCGCGTGTCTCTCCCTGGCGCGTGTCTCTCCCTGGCGCGTGTCTCTCCCTGGCGCGTGTCTCCCTGCGCGTGTCTCCCTGGCGCGTGTCTCCCTGCGCGTGTCTCCCTGCGTGTGTCTCCCTGGCGCGTGTCTCCCTGCGTGTGTCTCCCTGCGCGTGTCTCCCTGGCGCGTGTCTCCCTGGCGCGGCCCCGCGAGTCACAGCGTGCAGAGCGAGCGAGGCGGGCGGGCGGGCGGGCGGGCGAAATCTCACCAGCAACATTGTCCAATAGGGGTGCAGTGAATAACCTCCCCCCCTCCCCGCCACTCCTCCACCTACCTAACTCCCCACTCCCCACCAAACATCCAACCACCACCCCCCACCCAAGCCCCCCAGCCCGCATCTGCCGGCACCCAATCTCCCCAGGTCACACAACTCACCTAGACCACCCCCACCCCCCCAGCATAACCCACCTGCAGCCTCCCAGCACTCATTACTCCCCCACCACCACCACCACCCAACCCCTCCAGCCCACACTACCTCCCACCCATCTCCAACCCCACGCACTCCAGAGCTGTGATGATTTGTCACAAATCACGGCCCATATTAGATTCAAGAAATTATTCTCATTGTTTGTTCGCATCATATTCACAGCCGCATTTGTATAAACAACGATCGCATCGTTCGGCGGAGACGTTGCTGCGTAATCGGGAAAGCGTCGATTGGTCACACGCACGCGAATCGATGCATTGCATCGCGAACCTTAATACCAATTGACACAGGGGAGATGCACTGGCAGCTGCAGTTCCAAACAGCAACGATTTCGTCTCATGACATTACACCGAGAGCGCAATGTGTTTGTAATTGGAGGTGGGGGAAAAAATAATCGACAATTAATCGATGCATGGTGGCGCCCCCATTGACCATTGCTGACTGCAGTGGGCGCGGGGGTGCACAAAAAGGTGGATGGAAAGGGAAGGGGGTAGGTGAATTGGGTGGTTAGTGAGTGCGTCTGTGTGTGTACACGTGTGTGTCTGTGTGTGTACACGTGTGGGTCTGTATGTGTCTGTGTGTGTACACGTGTGTGTCTGTGTGTGTCTGTGTGTGTACACGTGTGTGTCTGTGTGTGTACACGTGTGGGTCTGTGTGTGTCTGTGTGTGTACACGTGTGTGTCTGTGTGTGTCTGTGTGTGTACACGTGTATGTCTGTGTGTGTACACGTGTGTGTCTGTGTGTGTACACGTGTGTGTTTGTGTGTGTGTGGGGGGTAGCGTTTAGCTCCCTGCACTATGAACCCGCCCGCCCGAGTTCGATTCCCGCTCACGGCCGACACAAGTGACGATTATTTGAACCGGTCCCGGGCCTCCCCTAGGTCGACTCAGCCTCAAATTAGTACCTGGTGCAATGCGTAAATATCGCCACTAGAGAGACAAAGGCGGCCGGGCGTGGTGTTGGCCACCCACCACCTCGTGTGCCGTGCCGGCCTTCATAGGTGCTCGCGAACAGCACTTGCCCCAACAGTCTGTTCTAAAGGCTATATGGAGATCATTGTGTTTGTGGGGGGACTGAATCAAATAGGATTCACCCCTAGCAACGCTTGTTCCCAGCACCACGTTTTTTTCCGACGCGTTTTAAATGCGTGTACAAGGTCACGAGAGAAAGAGAAAACTACACACAACATGTTATGCCAAAGAATCTCGATCAATGTCTCGCTGGATCTTTTTCTCTCTCGCTCTTTTTTCTGCCTCTCTCTTTGTGCTCAATTTTTTTTTTGACAAGAAAAACATCTATGCCTTATGCATGATAATACCCTGTTGCTTCTCCAAGCGTGCACGTGTAGGCCGCAACACACAGCACGTGCGTAGAGCCATTGTCTGTTCATACGGCAGGATACATTATGGATATTTTGACACAGACAAGAGACAATCAGTGACCTCAAGCAGCCCTCTAATGATTTGAATAGTTTGGAAATTGAAATATTTCGTTTGTAAGTAATTTTATAATAAACGGCACGCCTCTCCATGGAGATTTATCTACCTACGGACATCGTTTAACCTGATTAAAATGTGCCAAATGTTAAAGTTGAGAAATTAACTAATTATCCTTGAGGCAAAACCTTTCTGTGAATCGTAGGTTGACTTCAAGGATAGATTCATAAGAATAATAATCATTTGTAGCCCTTTGTCATGCCATTCCTCGATGAAGTATTCCACGTGCTCTACCGGCAATAGTTTTGTTTTATATACAGTACTTCCCAATTGGTCAAGGTCGGTGTGTGAAGACATATCACACGCCACCGATGTTGACCATGGCCAGGAATCGAACCCAGGAACTAACTACACCGCCACTGTGTATGCCACCAGAATAGCCAGTTTCATAACCAAACTAAAAATAAATATCGTGCTTAAATCTTAAAAATGCAGAGCAGCGTGCAGTCGAAGGCTCGTGTATGGATTTCAGTTTAAAATGTAATTTGAGTTAATGGGAAATCTACGTGCAGATGGGGCACGGGTGACGAGCAGGTAGTCCCACAGGAGCGCAGCGGCAATCCTCGGTGCCGTGCCACTTCCACGTGCCCATAATGAACAGAATAAAATGCCAACCTCTGGTGGCTTGACCCACTTGCGCGGCACATCAAACACGCTCACAACTAGCGAGGCCACTTCACCACCCCTGCTCCACGCGTGCCCAATGGAGACGTTGTTTATCTGTGGTCCGCGTCGTCTTCGGTTAACGTAAGCTGTCTCAAGGTGACCGTCCACGCGAGTTTTTTGCCGCTTGAGAGTAACGCGTTACGGATTTAATTTGAGAGGTGTTTGACGCACCTTCAAAAAGTATTCGCTCGTCGTGGGGTGGTTTAGTTTTGTACCGTTTTGCGAGTGAGTTGGCGAGAACCTTAACAACGTATAACTTGCTATTAAAACGTACAACGTATAAGCTGCTATTCGTACAGCCATGCGCAAAAAATAAATCTCTGCAATGGTTGATCAAAACCTCCAATATTGTCCTCTTTGTTATGCTCTGTTAAGAGCAGACTTCTCGATTCAAGCTCCTTCTATCTTGCCGAAAACTGCACTTTCCTCTTCATGTCGTTTGGCCTTTCCCCAGCATCTTCATACCCGAGTTTCCTTTAGCAAGCCAGCCCCTCTGACATTTGCCCCGTTCAGATCTTCTGTCTTCTCCAAATTGTTCCTATCAGAATTCCTTGCTACTCATTAGTTCAATCTGAAGGGTTTTCTCCAGCCAATTCCATAGCCCGCAATACTCTATTTCATTATATAAAGAACAAATTTAAACAGTAAAATATCAACTTACATTCTTAAAGGTGCTATTCATTTATATTTTATATTTTAATTAACAGCTGCCACTAAAGTAACTCAACATCAGTAAATTGACTTCTAGCTTCTAAAATTTTGGAAGGGCTTTTGAAACAAGACTCGAATGTGCGTATGAAACATTAAAAATACGTCAAACATTAAACATGCATGACTTTCGCAGGTTCCTTTAAAATTAAAGGCATTGCTCTCCTGCACATCCGACATACACTACACACACACATCATCCCAGAATGCGCATCGGTATGAACTAAAATGAGGCGCAATTTGTCAACAATTATTTGGCTGCATTGAAACGGGTAATGAAAATACAAAATTGACATGGCTCACGAATATGCAATCAAAACGCCGCATCACATTTATCTCAACCCCGCCTCGGTATAAATAAAAGAGCCTCTCTCGCAAACAACTCGTGCACACGGAATATATATTTTAAGACGGTTAAACACCCGCACGAAAATATCTTTGTGCAGGGTGTGTCTTGTTAAAGCACAATAAACTAAGATTTGTTTAACAAGCAGAGCTAACGTTTGTATATGGGCATGATTTTAATATGTGTGCATATATATAGATGTGACCAGGTCGCTCAGATGTCTCAGCGTTGAGCTGCCATCACAGAGCTCCTTGTGATACAATTCAGATGTTTCAGCGCTGAGCTTGTCATCACTGAGCGCACGTGCTAGAATTCGAAACGTCGTGACTTTTATTTCATTTTACTTTGATTAATTTTAATGTTTTACCTACGTGACTTTACCGAAAAAACTTAACAATATGCTAGAATTCACGCAGCCACTTGGTGTTGTAAACCAGTTGATGTTTCTCAGCCTGGTCACCAATTACTGAACACACAAAACAAAAATCCACGCCGCAGCATTAATAATTTGCATTTGTGATGGGTTCGGCAAAATGCCAGTTCTAATAATTACAGATGTACTGTGTATAATGGGGTTTAGACTGTCAGGCGATAACCTCACAGCAGAGCGAGTTGCGAAGTGTGCCCCCTACGGTGTACATAATAAAAATAATATGGCGTTGGACAAATTCCATAAATTGCTTCCGCGGGTACATTCTCTGACACACGGGGAAAAAAAATTCACGAGATGTCTCAATGGATTATAATCGGTCGAATGATGAGATGTCAATTGTATCATTGGAATAGACTGGAGGCGTATTTATTAATGTATATTCATTAAAGAAACCTATTAAACGTTTAACATAGCTAGGCAACAACAAACCATAGCACGTGTTACAGACACACCTGGAAACGCACGGTAGCATATACGAATACGAATATTTCTCGGTAAATTATTGAAAGAAGATTGGGATCAAACCGGTGGAATAGCGGAAGCTCTCGAGAGAGAGCAGGATGGAGTGCTTTCAGGAAAGCTCAACGTGACCACGAGGAGCAGCGCAACTTTGCGTGTGAAGACAAGCGGCTTCATTCCCCCGCGCAATGACGTATGCATCCTAAATCCAGACACTCCACCCAATTATTGCCGGAGGATATACTGATTAAAAAATAATCCGAGACAAGATACAATATACGGTAAAGAGTGGGAACTGTCATAAACAATA